TAGAAGTGACAGCACAAAAAAAATACCCTTACAGCCAGTAACAGGAACCTAAACAAATGCATCTGACAGAACCATAAAGGCCTGGATGTAAGGGTTACAGTTATAAAGATAGCATGTAGCTATAGCCTTCAAGCTATGTCTGCACAAAAATCAAGTTGAAGGGGAAAAATTAAGTCACTGAAAAGGCAAAACACAGTTTCCCCATGGTCGATCAGAAAAGACAAGGTGTTTAAAGACTGCTTCTTTAGTTTTCTACTGGAGCTACGAGGCTACTAGCTATAATGGATGTCTATGTCACCCAAAAAGATTCTGGGGGACATACACCACCATTACTTCTTAGCTAGCTACACTAGCCTCGCAGCTCCATTGCAAAACTACAGAAGCAAACTTCAGACACTAAAACATGCCTTGGCTGATCGACTTTGTTTGAGGTGATTAAGTGGGAAAACGTGCACATTTGGGTATTCAGAGAACCATTTCTTTAAGCGAAAGAGGAATCATAACAGCCGGGCCAAGGGAACAAGCACAGCTTGCACTGGCGAGTAGACTGGCTTCGAGCCCGCTTACCCAAATATAACTGCGTTCCACACCATGATGTTGTTTTCTGAGGGGGCACCACTAACTCCGGCCGGGGGGTCCTCCTGAAGTCTGAGGCAGAAACAGGAGAGTGTCAGTGATGGAGATTATCGGCTCAAAAACACACCTCGACCACACAGCGAGCACAAACACTGAAACAACAAGGGCGCCGCTTTAAACCGTTCAAACCACATTTAAATTCGGACACCGACTCAAAGCCAAAATAAACGAAGCCGAAACCATTTCCGACATTTACAAACGACTGTCTCGGTCTCAAATTAATGTTCATTCTGAAACCTTCTTCTATTTTAACAGACTTGTCCGAACATGTAAACATTTCTCCGCAGGAAACGCTTCGACATTTATCATTTACTTCCAACGAGGCAGCGTTAACGTTAAGCTAGCTAGCCTGCAACCGACTGCAGTAAACAGCGGCTTCCTGGACGAATTCACCTTTTAAAATCCCTCATGAGCCGTCTTCGTGCTGGAGTAGACATCGTTACGGATTAGAAACGGCTCCAAGCAGACCTTTACGTAAAAACAAGGGGTTTATTTTCCGAAAAAAAAACCACCCTCTGTTCTCCTCTTCCTCGACCCCTCGGCCTCCGGACGCCAGCTAATGTTTAGAATCTGCTATGAAGATTTCAACAGGGAATTACAGACCGTACCACTTCTGTAGGGGGGGCATACCTTTATTAACCCTCATTTTAACAGGTACATAAAGTAAACAAAGATTTATAAAATATAATGAGATGGCTCTATAACCTGGTTAATGTCCAATGTGGCATATAGAATGTACGTATACCCAGAAAGTATACAATTATTTTGCAAAAACGTTGTAGTGCCACACCCCCATTATTTAACGCGCAGACTGAACGGTCTGTGCATGTGGGTGGAGCTGTAATGACGCAGTGAAGGTCGACGCAGACTCCAGATGACTAGAGTGTGTCCGGACACGTGAGATTGTGGTCTGGGGTGGGCGTTGGAACTTCTGAGAGGCAGATTCTAATCAAATATCAGCATTTATTTACCCGTTCACCCTTAAAAAGATGGTTCTTCAATGGTTCTTTAGTAAAGGGAATGGTTCTATGTAGAACCAGGAGTTTTATATAGAACCATTTGATGCTTAAGTGGTTCTTTGCATGGTGAAATGGTTCTTCAGATTGATGGAGAATGTGCTGTACATAGTTCTACATAGAACCTTTATGAAAATGGTTCTTTATAGCACCAAAATGGGTTCTGCTATTGTTAAGATGTCAAGCTTGTTACAATAGAAGAACCTCTTTTGGTGCTATATACATTTTTAAAAATGTTCTATATAGAACCACACGTTCTCCATCAATCTGAAGACATGCAAAAAAAATCATGCAAATGGTTCTATATAGAACCATTGCCTTTAATGAAGAACCCTTAAAAAATGAGTTTTCTGAGAGTGTAGTTTTGACTGATATATGTACAACACATTCTCCATCAATCTGAAGAACCATTTCACCATGCAAAGAACCATTTAAGCATAAAATGGTTCTATATAGAAATCATGGTTCTAACTAGAACCATTCCCTTCACTAAAGAACTTTTAAAAATCTTTTTTAATAGTGGAGACCGGCAAAAAACTCACTTGCTGCTAATTTTAGCATCCCCAGGTTATTCAAACATGAAAGAACATCAGAGGTAGTCTAACACGCCTGTGTTGGTCATGAACTGAACGTGAATGAAAGCTTCTTTCACCTATTGCGGTTTTCTCCAAATAATTCACTGACCTCTGTGAGGAAATGTCCACAGTGCAGTCCAAATGCTGAATCATACCTGGGGACTGAAAGTGTGGGCAGGACCACCACTCAGTACTTTGAGTACAGTGTGTCAGTGCTGGGTGATTTGTCATTTATACCAGCATATTGTGATATTGCTTTTCAGTTTTAGTGATTTTTTTACTGTTTAAAAGTCTGAAATATCTAGTTCAGTTATTTCGTTTCCTGCCCACAGGAAGCACAATGTGTGTATCATATATTTAACAGAAAATTACACAGAAGAGCAACACTAAGGCCCAGTCCCATTTCATCCCTCGCCCCTACCACTTAGCCCTTAGCCCTCTGTTTTGCGCGTTCACGTCTAGGGTTAGGGTGTCCCAATTCTTGTTGAGATAGAGGGGTAGGGCGAAGTGTTAGGGCTACATGTTTTTCAGAGACACTCCAAACGGAGTGTTATGAGAAAAAAAGAAAAACCGGCAAGATGTCTGCGCGAGCGACCGAAGAAACCCACAAATATGAGAATTTTCTCTGTTACAAAAATTACGATAACCACTGTATTATCTTAGTTTAATGGCCTTTCAATGTATTATGGTCGTTTTCTTCATAACAAGCATAAAAAATCGCTAATAGCATGCTAATGTCTCGGTAGCTAGCTAACTTTCCCGTTCCACCTTAAATAGTCCAGCAGTATTGATGCCTGTAGCGTCAGAATGTAACTGCTGCACCATTTAAGGTGGAACGGGAAAATTCGAACAAGAGGCTGGTGAATAGCTGACTTCAGCTTCGTATCACCAAAGAATGAGCGGTGGGAGATAACAAATAATTGTCTTAAACCCCCTCTTTGAAATCATATGATGCCCTAAATGTAACTAAAGGCCAGCGGCGAGGTCGCTGAACTTCTCCCTTCTCTGCTATCACTGAAGACGGGCCGGGTCGCCTACAGAGCACCGCTAGTAGCCTGGTAATGAAGCAACGTTTTTTGTTTGTTGTTGTTTTTTTTTATTTTGAGGGTTGTCCCATTTCGTAGGTCAAGATTTCAACCACTACCCCTTGTAACTCAGTTCCAAGGGGTGAGGGTGACACTCGAAAACAAGGGGTAAAAAGAAGAAATGGGATTGGACCTAAGTATATCAAATCTATCAGTGTTTAATTTGTCCACTCTTTACTTTTGTGTCACTTTAACTCTTCCGTCCTTCCAATCTTAAAACTGATGAGTTACAGCAATAAAAGCTGTTCCCAAATGTCACTGACATTGTTCCCCTTCACAGAGACACTAACATTCACACAAGCAGCTACCCAGACACACCTCAGCTGCCTTCAGATTTCTTTTTCGTCCCTGTATATTTCTTTGAAGAACTGAAAGTTTCCCGAAAAGAATGGAAGCTGTAATAAAGGCAAAGCGTGAACTCACTAAATAAAAAAAGAAAAGATCCTCTTATATTTAGTTCTTGAGGTTAAATTATAAATATGTTTTCTGCTTTTTTCCTGAAGCTGCAAAATGAAGGCCATGTTATTAATGGCCTCCTGAAGCAGTTGTGCTGATGCTGCTTCCAGAGGCAGTTTGGAACTCTAGTGAGTGATGCAATAGAGGACAGGCCACTGTTACACACTGTGTGCCTCAGCACTCAGCGGCCCCTCTCTGAGTTTGGGTGGTCTACCGCTTCATGGCTGAGCTGTTCATGCTCCAAGACGCTTCTGTTTCACAATGATAGCACATCTGTTTGACCAGGTCAGAAATGTCACAAACTGACCAATGGTAAAGGCGGCACCCTGACAGTGCCATGTTTAAAGTCACTGACCTCTTCAGCATGACCCATTCTACTGCCAATTGAGATTGCATGGCTATGTGCTAGATTTTATACAAGTTAGCTGTGGGTGTGGCTAATATACCTCAACTCAATAATTAAGAGGCTTTCCGAAATGTAAAGTACAATATATATACACAATGTGCCTCTATTGTCTGTAGTCATGTTACACTCTTTTATGTGAAACACAATGGAAATAAGTTAGGAAATAAGTCTTTTTGTGTCTAAAAGTGTTTAATGGCTGTCAGAGAGCCATTTTAAACAAATAATGAATTCATTAATTTTAGAGAATACAGTAAGACTTTAAAAGGATCATTATCCAATATTTTTCTTGTATTTTTTTCTCCTGAAATCCATTTAACATGTGTGGGATTATGTACCAAAAACAGTCATAATTACATGACCACATCCCTTAGAATTAAGCAAGCTGTTTTTGTTACTGTACCTTTAAGACTGACAGGTATAGACGGGGCATGAAACGTTTTAGAAAAAATAAGTGTTTCACATACTATATCAAGCTGTTTTATTACCAAAAACCAAAAAATTAGGAAAACCTGGTTCTAAAAACACCTGAAGAAAAACTGGAAAAAGACGAGAGGACTGCATTCTGTGGCTCAAATTTTATATAACGCTGCACAAAGGAATCAAAGGAATGTCCAAAATCTCAAAAACCTCTCAAAAACAAATACTTCTTTAGAGTCAGAATTCATTTTACATCCACTCACAAATCCATTCAACTGAGGTTCTCAGAAATTACAGGAAACACAAACAAGCTCTGTACAAAATTTTCCATAACAACAGTGCCGAGCTTCGTAGAAAAAAGGTACTGGCACCAAGCCTACAATCAAACAAGGAGAGAGAGGAGAAAACCAACAATTAATGCAAGAATTCATAAATCACACCATACAAAGAGCATTCAATTCTCATACTATTGTGAAGAGAAAGTGGGGGAACGTTTAACGGACCAGAACAAAGAATCCACAGCTAGGCTACTGCACAAACATATCATAAAATAAAGGATTCAAAACAGTCACATACAAAAACAAAGTTTGTCCCCTTTGGTACAAAGGTTTTCCCCATAATTCATCAAAAACAAACAAACCAACTTCTTACTGTGGCCTGCGATAAGGTGCAAGAGCGAAGTCAAGGTAAACCGCTCGGTTTAAGGTGGCTGGTGGCTACAACAACAACAAAAAAAAATAAACAAACAAACAAATGCAATCATTTGTACTTAAATGGACGGATTGTAGCCAGCCAGCAGATTCTATTCATGAGCCATGAAACAGTTGCATGGCGCTTAATACTTCCTGATCGTAGTACTGCTCGATCCTGACGGTCGTATTGTGATCGTGGCGGCTGCTGGCATCTTCCAGGTCTTCCGCAGTGTCTCCGAAGCCATGGTAATACCCGTAGTGCAGATGTTCGCTGGAGTCCGAAAGGAACGTGCCCCAGGACGGCCTGAGAGTAACGCAGCTGCTGGGGCTGCCGCTGAGGTGCAGCGAGCCGCACATATCGCTTCTAGTCTCAGCATGGACAGGCTCAGTGCGGGATGGGTGGCAGTGCCCGTTTGTGGGGACACCATTGATGGCAATGTTGTTCTGTTGCGCGTGACCGTTCCTCAAACCTGTGGTTGTTTCTATGCTGCCATCTGTCATTCAAAACATAACACAGGTCAGAGAGAGCCAGACTGCACCCAAGTGTATGGTGAAAGATTAAGGAGCAGAGCAGGGAAGCTTTTGTACGATGCCAGTTCAAACCAGATTATTACAGTCCAAATGATTTGTTTGGTGTGTCTTCATAATCGAACATTTACAGTTTAAGAAACACAGAACATCAAACTCTACCACAATGAATGAATAGATGTTGCACACACAGCAACAGCTTGATCAAACAAGCTAATGTAGCTTACAGTGACCATTAGCAGGATGTCATTTGCATATGCTAACTGGTGGATGCTGGTTTTTATTTATTTCACATTAGCTTTCCTGGACCGTGCTATTCCGTAAATGCTCGATGGTCCATTTTTGTTTTGCACATTTTTGTCCATCTCAATGACAAAAACACACAAAAAAAAACCCACACACACAAACAAAAAAACAGAGATTCAACTGGCTATTAGAGGGAGAGGAAAGTCCGGACTACAAACCATTAAAACTTAAATAAAAAAAATAAATAAATCACCAATATCTACCTACTAAGCTAAAGGTGGCAATGACCAAGTCAGATACACTGGGCTGAACAGAACAAAACTCATTTCTAATTACAAAGGAACAAAATTATGTTTAAAATTTTGATTAGTAAAAGACTGTGCAAGTGACTCATTCGTACTGTTTATACTATTAAAACAAAGACATTTTAGAAAACACGACTGAAGGACTTTCACAATTCACAAGAATTCACTGAAGAGTTTAAACAGAAGTATTAAAGTTCGAATATAAAGATGAACTGATGGACAAAATTGTGCAACACAAAACTGTAACCATGACTGCCAGCTTATCTCAATAAGAAGAATAGATACACATGAATGAAGATTAATAAACATACTTCATACATGTGTAAAGAAACAGAATAAACTGAATAAAGCTGTATTGTGCAACATTCTGAAATATGACCAACCAATCAAACTTTTAGATACTGGAGTGGCCCAACATATTTTGAATAGTGTCCATCTCAAAACTTTTAATAAACTATACAAGTCTAGGGGGATTTTTGACAGTGATTACAAATAGGCATAGGAGTTTATACAACGCCAGGGAACAGGCATGGATGACTCAGACGTGGGCTTCAGTGTTCGTGGGGTGGGAGAAAGGCTCTCCATGGTAACACTGTCTTCATGACGCTCACTGTCAGTAGGCATAGGTGGAAAAGGTCCAGTCCCACCTGATTGATTGTCTGGAGCAGATTCCACATGCATGCTCTCCATCTCTTCCCCCATTCCATTCAGTGTCTTCACAGGGAAATCCATACCTGAATGGGGAACATTCAGAAATTAGCTACATACATACAATACTTAAGGTTGCTCCAATACTGTATAGGCACAGATAATGCCACTTAATCACAGTATTGGTATCAGCGACAGGGGTGCCAATACCACAAGGCAATTTGACGAGTAGGCGAGCTACTGAATGACTTTTGCATGCGCACTAGGAGATGGAACTTAATGTCAGTGGTGTTGGTGGACAGTAGCAGTAAAAACAGTCATGGTAAAATCTGTAACAGCAGGAAGAGTACAGTAACGGGTGATATCTTTGTTGGAATTGTTCCTAAGGTATTAGTTTAACCAGTATGACATCAATAAGACATATAATGCACCATACATATAATACAAAGCCCTTTATCGTTACCTGAATGGCTGACTCATTTCAGTAATCACTCTCCCACTATGTAGTCAGTTATAGTCTTAATGTTAGTCCAGGTTGTTATTGAGGGAACAAATAAAACGACATATGGAAGGAACTGCCAGTATCGTGAGGGTAATGATAGCCTTTAGCATAACAGCCCTCTACCTGTTCAAGTTGCCCTCCCTGCAGTGCACCTCTGTCTGTCAGCTGCATTACCCAGTGAAAAATCCGCTGCTACAGGCAACAGGAATGATTAATGTTTACTAAACTCCAGCAGAGTCTGGTGCTTATAGTGTATGGGACACACTGCTGAGACCAACAACTCAAGAAACTCAGGCGTGAAACAACATTTAGCGCCACTGCCAGGTGAGTGATTACATGTCCCACCACAGGTTTATCTATATTGTTTAGTTCGGTTTTCAAAAATTGTGCAAAATAAAAATATTTAGCATTTACTTTAGTTGTTAAGCATTATTCTTATTACTAATTACATAACAGAAAATACCAATTACATATAGGAAATAAGAAGTTTTTAAAGCATCTATAAAATCCAACAAGTAAATGCCATTCATTCAAGTTTGGCATGTTTTATTTGCAACACAGACCATGGCTTTTACCAAAATAAAATATTTAAAAATAAGTATAAGTATACTGTATAAGTATCGGGACTTAGAAGCTAGTTAGAGTAGACAGACTTCATATCGGTACTCTGCATCAGATAAGGATCAGATATTGGTCTCCATATGGCACAAGAGAGTGGTATTAGTGCATCCCTAATACTTTCCACTAGGGGTGGGAGATGTGATGATGTATCGTGATCAAGGTAATTACATCACAATATACTTTTCTGAACATATCAGAACTGATATGTACTGATGATCAGACAGAACAATTGTATGTTTCATTTAAAAAATTGTTAAAAAGTGCTGTGGCTGTCAAAGGATTCACACTATTGTCAGTGATCGCAAGAATCCCTTTGAAGCCAGGAGTAAGCTTTTAAACCGCTCACTTAAGTTGAAAAAACATCAGCTTTCCCCCACTAAGCACAGCAAGGAGAGGACGCCTTCTCTCTAGCCACTATTTTTGGATGTTTAACACATGAAGCTGCACAACAATAAACACAAATATTGTACCAAATCTCAAGATACTGCTAATCCCTACCTGACAGGACTGAATACTTAAAAGATATTTAATTTACTTTAATTGTTTGGAGATGCAACTATACTTTTAATTCATCAACAATTTCAACTGAGAAATCTTTAACAGTAAATGTTAAGAAATGCAATTTAATATTAGGCTAATGAATTTTGTAATTCAAATTGCTTGTGTCATCATTTAGTCAGTCAACACAAAACACAACTGACCTATTTTGTTTGTTGCAGCTATACCCAAAAGATTTGTTGGGCTTACTGTATTACAGAAACAATGCACTATAAAACGCGTCATATCGTACCATCCTTTCAGCACTCCATGGTGAGTCTCCACTCAATTCGCTATATCAAATACTACAGTACTAAATAAAAAGTCAACAAGGTTACCATTCCAGAGTGACTTATCAAACCTCAGAAAATTATATATAGCAATACATATGCATCTCAAAAAAAGTAGAATATTTTGCCATATTGTCCATCCTTACTTCCACCAGTCCCGCAATTCTCAACACTTCCTGCAATAGCAGAAAGACGTGGTGATCTCTGCTTAACTTACTGTCAGTTCTTGCTTTCTTGGTGTGACTGGGCTCTGAACAATCAAGGAGCCTCTTTCTATTGGCTGCTCCATTAAGGAGACTTCGCCCTTGGATGTGGGAGTGGTCAGTTCCATTATGGCCAAACCCATTGAGCTTCTTGAGCTGATTCTCTGCATTAGACAAGAGCTGAGCACACTCCTGGAAGCCTTGTGCACGGGCCACGTCGGCTGCAGTCAAACCATTCGCATTCCTCAATCTGCACAGCGGAGAGAAGGAATGATTAGAATGGTACACACTAAAATGTTAACAGTTAAGACTGACCAACAGGACAAAAACAAACATTCATAATCAAATAATAACTGTCTAATCTTTGCCTAACATGAGCTAGTTTTAAGATTTTTTTAAATATACTGCAAATGGAAATCATATGGAACTGATGAACTGACAAATCTAAAATTTTAAAAGCCCATATTTTGAGTTCTTAAACCTCTGATCAAAACTCGGTTTATTTCTCATATGTTAATTTTGGGAGCTCTAATGAAACACTAAATGCAGTCTGTACACAGTGTAACAGGGCTTGAAGTCCAGCCAATTTTCAGACACTGAGACCATGTTTAGCTGTCTATTAGACAACCAGTTAATTTTAGACTCAAGGAATCAGAATAATGTAAACAACCAAATCATCTATGGGTGCTTTTACACAACAGAGTTCTACAGAACATATTCAAGTCCATCTGCAGTAAGTAACAAATATCAAAATTTAATACAGAATTCAGGGATGAACCCACCCATTTAAAAAAGTCTGAGATTCATAGGTGCAACAGCAAATTTCTGAGATTTATTTTGAATTATAAAGTATTCTGACTGTTAAAATAATAAAAAAAAGAGTCCTGCTTAGAATGAACAAGCACCTAACAAAGTATCTGGCAATTTGGTTTGAAAAATTATTAAAAATAATACGATCCATTTCTGCCTCAGAATGATCAAAAAGGAAATTGTATATTTCATAACAGCAGAGTATTAGGAAGCAACAATTTGATTTCTCCTTCATGTTTAAATATCAAAAAGTTCAAATAAGGCATAGATTTGTCTTAAAGTTAAGGAAACTTGCATAAGGAAAGGGAATAGTGAAAGTTTTCAAAACTAGAGTTTAAAAAATTATTAAAAGATTCACTGAAAAGCTCATTCTTGCTTCAGAAAAAAAATCCACAGGTGTTTCTGGCTATCCTTCAACTGTGAGAAGACAACTCAACACCATGAGTCTGACAGGATGTGTAGCTGTCAAGAAGCTGTTACTGAGAAAAAGAAAACCAAAAAAGGAAGAACATTTGCAAATCAAACAAAGAAGCTGCTGGTTTTCTCAGAATAGATTGACCACCTCAGAGTCCAGATCTCAACATCACTGTGTTTGGATTAATTGGATCGTGAGAAGCAGAAAATGCAACTTCTCAGACTGAACTTGAGGTGTGGAAAAATATCCCTTAAAAACTGAAAGCAGGTCTCTCAAAAAGAACAGAAGCTTAATAAAGGCAACAGTATTTTATGATGTTCATTTAACAAAAGCTGCAATCATAGTTTAAATATCAAAAATAGAGATAATTTGAGATAATTGCAAGGTTTTAATATTAGCTTTAAAACAATATCAGCGAGCATATTCAATTGCTAAAAAAAGTCTCTATAGATGGGAGAGGCTCTCTGGTACAGAAGTATGTATTTTGAAACGGTGCAGTTTGATGGCAGAAAAACATGGAAAGGGGAAAAACACCTACAACGTACCAGCTTTATTTAAACAGCTTAACTTTATCGCAGTAAGCAAAGACGTTTTGGAAAATTTTGTAATTTGTGATGTTATTTAATTTCTGCATTTGTTCTGCAAAATGCTGAGAATAGGGCTGCACAATGTCAATGTTATCATATCATACTAAATCGTGGTATCTCCTGTAGTTCTGGAACATTTAACATAAAGACAGATTTAAGCCATTATAGTTATACAACAATCAGTGTATAAGAGCTGCAGCAACTGCATAATAAGTAGCTAACTGGATGCCAGCCAATACCTTATTTCTTTTTATTGAGTGGTGTTTTTTTTTTTTTGGACTTATGAGTCTTCATAACATCCTATTTCTAATAACTGTATAAGAAACAAGAAGTAGTAGTACGTTTAGGTACCCTCAAATGCAAAGTCTTACTGAAAGATATTTACGATTCTTTTAATTCCTTAATAAATACAGATGAGTGTTTGATAAACATGTTAAATACATGTTTCAGAATAAACTGAAGGCGCTCCTAATATGTCCGTTTCTATTAATCCAAGGGCTGTAAAAAAGAAATAAAAGACCAATCAAAATGTCAGTGGGTTCATTCATGAATTCATCTGTCTCTCTGTCCCTGGATTACTTTCACATCCATGTAGATAAAAAAAAAAATGCATTTGGAAAACAAATCCTGAGCACAAAAGAAGACAATGTTAAACAGTTTTAACATGAAAGTCAACATGGCTGGCTTGCCTTCACAAATTCCTACATAAAAAAAAATCCAAAATGATCCTTGAAAAAATTAAATGCTTCCAAGTGCATTTATTCAGTTTAAATCTGCAGAGGTACAGAAATAAAACACTCCCTCCACGTTTTTTCAAACAATGCCAGACAAGTACAGTATTAGTATTTAGTTTACTGGTATTTATTTTAGTATAGAGGAAAAGTAACACAAAATAAAAACTAGAGTGCGTGGACACTACATACATACAGACAGACATGATAAAGATATGTCTGTAAACAAACGTGCTCCTAATACTGAATGCAAGTACAAACTTGTTTGCTTCTGGTCTATACAGAGCAAATTACAACATATTTCTGTTCTATTATTTAATATGTATGGCACAGTTATCTTTGACAATAATAACATCACGGTGCAATTTTATATTAATTTTTTCTCAGTCACAGATAATGGAAACAAGAAATTCTGTGGAAACTAAAGATTTTAAACTTTGTCTATTGATTGTATTTGTAAACAAATAAAAGGAGAGATTTCACTACATTTTGAATTTGATAAATTATTGAAAAAATAATGCTTTATGTTTCTGCCACTGAGTGCAGATTTACCTTGTAGTAATACAAAATATAAATTTAATGTAATTTATTTTATAACTTAATCTGCAATTAAATATGTAATTACATAACTACGTTTGAAGACAACAGCAAAAGTAATAACACTGGATATCAAAGTGTTAAGGATAGAGATGGCACAATACCACTTTTTCTTCTCAGATATTATTGACACCTTGCATATCAGCCTTTAAAATGTACTAAGCTTTAAAATGTACTAATTTTATTTTAAGTATTTCAATTAATATGAACATAAAAATATCTTTTCCATATATATATATATATATATATATATATATATATATATATATATATAAAATAAATATATCTAAAATTTTAGAATATAATATATATAATATATAATTCTAAATAATGAGTCAACTCTATTATAACTTCATTCTTAACATTTTTACAAATATGGTTGGCTTTTATAAAAAATGCTTGAAATTCATTTTAATAGCAGCCAATAGAGATTAAATACATTAACAAATCAACAGGTCAGCCTGTGAACGCTAGCCAACACTTTTTAGTAATGCAAATTTTGTTTGTTATGAGTTTTAAATGTATACTTTACATTTCCTCTTGTCACGTTTCAGTTTGACACTAATGCCTGATATCTGACTGCATTTACCACATTGCAATATAAGCAAAGTCTTAATCCTTTACGACAGCAAACAACTTCCCATGGCCTCTAATGGTCAATGTCTGGCATTGAAAGTGAAAACAGTGTGAAAAGAGAAGTTCTGTGAGACAATTATAAACCTACATACTACATTTTGTCAGTAGTTTATTTGCCCAAGGAAGCATTAAATATTTTCACCATTCCTGGAATGCTTTGCTTTGTGATTCTAGGCACCCTTCTAGACAACTGTTCCTTTGCTACACAGTGGTAAATTCTAGCTAATGTCTAAATAACCATGTTTTTACATGTTTACCTTCTCAGACTAACCTGAGCCTTTCCTATAACCTGAGATATCCTTAAAAAGAGCAAATATTAAAAATGTTCAAACATTAATAAAGCTGATGTTATCTAAGCAAAGCATGCAGGTCTAAACAATACAATTACTGTTTTCCTAAAAAACAAAACCAATCACCGCAAGAAATACCTCAACAGTTTGCCAGTGTGTAGATACTGAAGGAAGCGATAGTGAGAACACTCAAAGCCACAACTGTAAGGGTGTTCGCTGAAGCACGTGTGGCAGATTCAGCAGTTTTTGGAATGCTTCCCCCTTTTCTGGGCTTTACTTGAGAAAATCAAGTCATGTTCAAATTCAATGGCTGCAAAACATTGAGATGTGTAGGGATTTTCCTTCTCTGTAACGGTTCACAGTGTAGCTTCAGTAATTTTTTTTGTGAACATGCTACTTTCAGAAAAAAGTGACATGATCTCAATTAGGTCAAATTCAGAATGGTTTAACATTGAAAACAAGAAGCAAAAAACAGACATTTGAGAATCGTATTTGTACATTTGCTTGCCTTAACAGATCTTATACATCTGAACAATGTCTAACCTCACTAACATCCAACTAAACCAAAAGAATAATAATTATTTGCAAGTTAGACTGCAAATAATTACAAGTTCCTACAAAGCTTGAGGGTTGAAAGCTCATTAGAAAGAGGTGAAAAAAAGATTCAAATATTTAACAACATTTCGATACGTATTGAGAGCTATGTGGAAACTGTGTAAAACTGTTTTGACAACAGTGCCGTAGGCCTCACGCGGCAGCGACACAGGTAAGAGAAATGGTTTAAGCAAAATGAAGTACTGCTGCCAAGAATACCTTAGAATTTTGCTTTATTAAAACATCGGCAGTACCTATTCTACAGTGTTAGATGCTCAGCAGGAAAGTCTCAGATTCTTGGACTTCCAGCTGCATAAAGTAAAACCTACCACAGGGATCATGTCTAAATCCTTCTACTATGTTTCAAAAGTTTTAGCTTTACACAATTTTTTTTGCACTGGTCAACATACTGTAATACAACACAAATGCAAGACTTTAAATCTATGCCCACACAACTGTTAGAAAACTCTACTTCAAGCCAGCTGATTGAGGTTGGCAAATTTCTAACACTTTGCTTGTCTGGGAACTTCCAACCAAGCTTGGAAGTAGAGCCAAGTTTGTCTTTTATCAGTTGTTACTGATTTGTCTGC